GTTTGTAACTGTTTTTGTGTTTGTTGGATAATAAATCCATTAAGATTTTGACTTTAACCTGCTGTAGTGTTTTGGAGGCGATTGAGAGCACATGGCTGTAAGAGGGGGAGGCGATTTCTCTCTGTGTTCAAAAGATGCGGCCCTAACAAGAGTCAGCAGGTTCAACAAGTGAACACAGCCATGAAGAAATTCAAAGCAGGATTAAAAGGATCTTCTTGTTCAGTTGAGGATCTTGCAAAGTCTAAGCTGGAAATTGTCAGACTCTGTCAAAGGGCAACATTTTCTGAAGAGATTTCATCTCTGTGTTTTAAAGTGGTTTGCAGCCCGTTGGTGTCTAGATGAGGGTTGAGCCAATTGTGGGTTGCATCGTTCATTTCCACATCACAGCAGTGGTCGTTGCAGACGCACATGGTGGAGATGTGCCTTCTACTGAGTGAAGCTTCCTAGTTGAGGTTTGTCCCTACGTAGACATGGAACGAGCAGAACCCTGACTGGTCTGAACGCTGAGCTCATTCAAAATGTCAGTCCTCTTTTTGATCTATTTTTTTCTAACATTTCCCTTTTGATTTCTTATCTAACCATAAATATTCTTTGACATTTTAGTAGTTGTGTAGAGTCATTGAACTTAAGAGGAGGTCCTAGAATAAAGGTTCATATAAGATGTGCGTGTGTGTGAGTGTGTACTAACTGGCAGGGGTGCAGAGCCTGAATGATCATCACGGCTGCTCCGTTAGCCAGCTTATCAGTGAAGCTCATGGCTCCGTACACAAACGCTCCGCTTTGCTGCACAGAGAGAAGAAGATAAAGATAGAGAATGATGTGAAAGGACTCTCTCTCTCACACACACACAAACACATCTTACTGTCTGATTGGCGATGAGCTCGGCCGTCATGGCGAGCGATATGACCAGGACGGTGGCTGACCCCGCCCCCAGCAGCACAGCGGCCCCGTACACCCGCTCGCCCATCTTCTCGTCCAAAAGCACCCAGTAGGAGAATGCCATGATCAGC